CGCCAGTAGTCTTGCTATAGTTTATTAATGGTCTTTCTCCCAATTTATTATGTTAACTTGTATTTTGAGAAAATATATAGCAGTGTTTCACACTCAGCTTTAAATATTCAATATGTGGAATTCATTTGTCTGGAAGATACTAAAACCCTTCATCAGTGATGAACTGCTTCCTCTGGTGTGTCCTAGCCTACCATAAATCAGCACTGGCTTTGAGCCTGTGATGGTGAGTTATTCGCATTAACAGTCTTGAGTCTAAGCCTATGTTCCCTGCCAAACGTAGTGTGTTTGTGTTATTTTTCCATGCAAACTAATAGTAGGTGCAAATTCACTTCATTTTGCCCTGCGCTTTTGACTGTGGAATAGGAAGTCTTTAATAAACAGCTTTTTCAATAGAGGGGTGTTGATCAGAAAAAATGTACTCATACTTACGTAAATAGTCCCTTTTAAATCAAGGGACTAGCCATCACTACAAAGGTTTTTAGAACTGTGTGAGTCTGTTCATCCCTGTCTCCCTTGGGGTTAGGATGGTGCTTAGTGTTAAGTAATTTAAAGAAGCGTGAAGGTCTGTTTGCATTAATTGTTTGTGAAATACTCTTTTGCTTGTAACTTATAGAGGACCAATGGTTTGAATCGTGGGGCTATATAAACACAAATATTATTGAAATATTTGAATGTGAAACAATCTAGTGTGAAGAAAAAAACACGCATAAGAAAATGTCATAAGATGGAAATATTTTTGCAGGGTCCTAAGTGGTTTGTGTGAATCGAAGGATTAGAGGGCCCTCTGGACTGCTGCTTCTTTATTTTCGGTGCAGGAAACATTATGAAACGAATGATCAAAGTCCATGCACAAATCACGATCTCACAAGGTAAATCCCGGTAGGAATCTATTCTTCCAAAAATAAATATATTTCATTGTTGCTTAACTTTATAAATTACCTTTTTGATGGTTTGTCATTGGCTGCCACTTTAAGCCTATATTTCCAGTTGGACAGATGTACTAAAGTATGTGGTTGAGGGCAATGAAAAAATAAGTTTGATCTGAGACTGAAAAATGAGGGAACTGCCACTTTATGGCATTCTATAAAGATGTCATAAAATATCTACTTATTTGACAAATACACAAAAAGTTGAGGAGTTACATTTCAAGATGATGTTGATTTTTTTTCTAAAATAGCCCCTCTGGATTTTAAGCTGTCTTGATTTTTAGAATTTCTGGTGAGGCTAGGAGGAAGAAAGATGAAAAGGGAAAAAATATTGCAACTATCAATTTTCCAAACTATTCTCTCTCATTTTTAAACATAGGTTACTATAACTAAAGAGAAAGATACTTGCATAATGAAAGTACCTCTTAATGTTATCTCAGTAATTACATGACAAATACGTCATTCAGTTCGTGTTTTTAGTAGCTACCAATCTTAATAGTAAAGGTAATTTCTCATCTTCATTTGTAGTAACATAATGGAAATTGGGAAGTTAAAAGTAAACAGTAAAAGCAAAAATGTATTGTAGTGTTACTTGCAGTATTTCTTGCCTTTATGAAAAACAATCTGATGTTTCACTGATGTGTTTACGGTAATCAGCTTTCTAGTATGAATGAGTTGTCCTGACACAAATGCTTGCTAACTTTGGGTCTAGTTTACCTTTCACTACAGTTAGGAAGAGCCATCTTGTTATGAGCTTGATAGTTACAAGGGTCATCAGTTTTCTGAGTCTGTGTAAGATACGTTCTGCAAATTGGTAAATAAGCTAGCTTGCCCATATGTAGGTCAGTTTAAAAAACAACTGCATTGGTGACAATTTTAAGCCATATTGTAAGAGTGAACTTTATTTGACAATTTGAAGGTTTCTAGTGATGGTATGAGACATCTTGTCCTTCGGTAAGTGTGTATCACCCCAGTTTTTTGTATTTGTTGTTACTACTACGTACTTCCTAGGTGTTATCTCTTCATTTATCTCTCTATCCTTTCTGTGATTCATTATGGAAATCTAATTATTTGGTCATCTTTTCTAACTTAAGTATATCATTTGAATGAGAACTTTTCAGGTCAGATATGTGCTTCCTCCACTTAAATTTAGGAATTAATTAGTAGCAGAAGTTTTTTGTGTGATACAGGTGTGTGTCTTCATGGTGTTTTACCAGTGCATGTATGTTCTTTCTATACTCAGAGCCAACAGAGAACTATTTCCATACAATAAAGTGTGGAGATAAATTGGTGATGTCAAACCAAAGCTAATAAGCACTGCTGAGAGGCAAAGTGTATTATCACAGTATTGAACCCAAGTTAATATATCAACATGGCTTCCACTCGCTGTATGCAGAGCTGTTTGCATCTTCCTTCAAAACTCTGATGTGCCATCAGTGGACTGGCTCTTCTGAAAGCCAGGTATACTCTATGAGAAAACAGTGAAGAAAACTAAATGTTACTTTCTGTGTCTTATGTGTCATTCTGACTACAGCAGCATCTGCAAATACTGTAGCTGTCCATCTTGCTAGGTAGCTTTAGCCTTTCCATCCTGAAAGGTGGTATGGTAATGAAGATGAAACTTGGCCTCTACACCCTAAATGCTTGTTCTAACATATATAGTATGATTATAGTCAGCAGAAGACTTCTGACCAGAATATTAATAGTAGTCTCTGAAAGACATGAGTTACTCTTTTCAGTCTCAGAACTTTATACTTTCCACACAATGACCCTTATATCAGGATCCTTCACATCTATTTAGTCTTGATATTTTTCCCTGAGATGTAATAAGGTGTAACAGAACTACAAAATATGTGAGGGCTGTGTTAGGTGCATGGTGCTTAGCAGATCTGGAACTGATTTTTAAAACAAAAGCAAGTGGAAGGGCTTTGCTCCAAGGGAAAAAAAAAAATTGTCTTCCTTTGCACTTGCTTTGCTTAAAAATAATAAGTAAAAACTGGGGGATGGTGAAGTCCTAGAAGGACAAATGCCTGACTGTGTGAGTTACAGTAATACACTCATTGTAAGTATGTACCATAGGAGGGCATGACTTCTGCCTTGGTTTTACTACCAGTCCTTCACATTTAGCTCTGGGAAGGTGAATCAAAACAGTAGGTCACTCTGAGATTAGTTCCACAACGCCATTGCTTCTTACTAAGCATTTAGTGATCATGCAATCATCATGCCATTTTGAGTGGTACTGGCTTGTTTAAAGGCTGTAGATAGTAACAAAGATAGAGTTGCAGACGAAAATATGAATGAACAGTCGTTTCCAAAACAATTGCTCTGTATGTAAAGTGAATATATGCAGAAGGAAGAAATAATACACTTGCTTTAGAAGTGCGTTCTTTAAAAGGCATTTCCGAAATGTCTAGTTCTTAATCTAGAATAGTTCAATATAGCTATTAATGTAGTCATTCTTAAAAAAAAAAACAATTATGCCAAATGAACAAGTGGGAAATGTGTATAGAAAATGGTCTAAAATGCAGAATAATGCAACTGGTCTGTTAGATGTGCAGTGACAGTAGTAAAGTAATAAGATCAAAATTTTAATTGTTTTTGATAGGCCTGTTAAAAATGCTATCACTTCTAAATTTCATCTTCCTTATAATTGAAAAACTTGAAATGGACTAATGTTCCTGGCAACAGCATGGGATAAATTTCTAATATTTGATCTTTTTTCCATTTCTATTTCATTTACAGACAACTTCAAGACTTAAAATAATTGTTCCTGATTAAAAATAATTGTGATTAAACATTGACAGATTTTGTCATGTTTTCCTAAATGAATAATGATGTACTTTTTAAAATAGAATGCTGCTTTAATCCTGAAATGTGTACGTTGTTTATGAACTTATGCATATTGTCACTAAATTTCTAGTTCATATGCAGTCATATGTGTCTTTAAAAAATATTTTAAAACTTTTTGTCACTTTCTCATTGTGAGAGCTAAACTGTTCTTTATGAGAAGCTATACTTATATTCTCCTGGTAAGCATATGTTTTTCTATCTCTTAAGAAAATGGTTTCAGGCCCAAAAAAAAATCCAGTAATTAAAATTAAGTTAATACTTTAAGTGGTCTGTGCCTGAACTGAAGCAATAAACATAAACAAAGTATATCAAATAAATGAGACATGGTCTTGTGAAGGATTTTTCTGGAAGTTGATGAGCACTTTCAGTTTCCACAGTGAAGGTGCATGTTGTCTCTTGTGACTGGTTCTACCTGTCTTTGGGGATTGGCAGCTGCCTTTTATGTTCAGGGTCCCTTCATTTTCTGTTGAATTCAGGTGAAATTGCAGACACTCAGCATGATCAAAGAGGGATGTGGGAGGCTTCCAATATCAGTCCCTTTACTTTCTACTGTTCTGATTCTCCAATGGCAGACATCTCTTAATTCACGTTGACTTTAGCAGCCCTCAAACGCTTGGTTTGAGTCTTAAACTAATCATCCTCAAAGAAGAATGCTGAATGTGAAAGAAGTAATTTGTCTCAGAAGTCTCTGCCAAATATCTATAGATGGAGTGGTTTCTATTGCAGCTGTTCCATATGTTTCTCTTTTTCTGTATTAGATGTTAAGCTCCTCTTTAGCAGTGTCTAATGTTTTCCAGTGGGCACTCAATAACAAAGAATAATAACAAAAAAAGTGTATTAAAGATTATTTTCAAGCATTTTTAAAACATGAGAAAGCCTTCATTGTTAGAAATAAAGGCTGATGATAAAATTACTAGTTTTACTTGGAATATAAGGAAAGACAGCCCTGAGTACTTGATGCATGAAGAGAACATTTTCTGAGACAGCATCAATATTAATTTTTTTATTTTAATGTGATAGGACTCTGATGCAGTTGATAAACATTCTGTACTCATTAAAAGTATTTCATAACAGTACTCACAACTATTAAAATATGGTTGGGGTTTCATGATAGGATTTTTTCATGTCAAATCCTATATAAAGTTTTTTGGTTTTCTTTCAGCGTAGTCTGTAAGTGTCTTTACTGAGAAGCTGAAATTATTTTTTGCCTGTGAAAGCTGGAAAATGTTTAAAAATCAGTATCAGGTAAACCAGAAATAGTTTTATTTTTTACCTTCTTTAATTTTGCCTCAGAGAACTCAATTAAAATGGCCTATTCAGGGCGGTGGGTGTGGCAAAAAGTCCAGATACAGAAATGTTTTGGAATGTTTCATTATTCAGTATTTTTATAGAGATGTTATGAAATAGTGTTTAGCTGCTGATGCTGTCAGGTCTAGAATGGACACCAACATGGTGTTATCGATGGCCTTTTGTCTGTCTTTACCCTTGTGGGCCAGGGAAGGCACACCATCTGCTCCTACCCAGTCATGGAAGCAGGCCCAGTTCTAAAGGTAATTGGAAAAGGGGAGTTGGTTTATTCTGTTGGTCCAGCTCAGGGTTGTGACAACACTAACTGCATCATTCGCAACCCTTATTATCCCTCTTACTGTTTCCTGGCCTTCGTTTTCACCGCACTTTGCCTCCCTTTATCTGCATCAGTCCTCTCCCAAAAGAGCAACCCACCCCAAATTACTTTTTCCCCGCGCTGGTCCCAGATGTGCTACATCTGTACCTGAAATTAATGTTTCTGATGCTGGTGCCTAGGCTATCACAGCTGTATATGGTATTTCTGATACAGTTGCCTAGGTGCTGTTGGCTTTGCAGGATTGTGCTCCCCAAAAGATGCCCTGTACTCCCCTTCAACTGACTGGAGTTTGACAGTTTCTTGCTTAACTCCCCCTTGGCCACCCATGAGATCCAGCCATCTTCCATGATACTAAGTAACTTCTGTCATCTTCTCACATTGGTGTTTGTTCAGCATTTTCTCATGTCATGTCCAGTAGTTTTCATTTTAAGTTTAAATCCAGGGCCTACTCAGGGGCTGCAGTATTAACAAAATGTGTTTGTAAATATGGGAGAAAAGGCTACTTGTTTGTTAAGATTTGCTACAAGCACATACAACTTGGCAGGCAAGAATCTTTTCTAACTTTCAGAGAGCTTGCACCTGTAGTCCTTAAATATGTCAAATAACTTTCAAATTGATAGTATGCCATATTTTTAATTTTTATCCATTATAAATTTAAAATATTTTGAGTGCAGTTTATGGAATGCCAATTTGAATCCCCTTAGAACTTAATGAAGTCTAGCCACTGGGGTTAGCCAGGTGACTGGAAGCTGCCAGGTGTGGGTAGGCAGTGGAAAATACCTAATTCATATATGGTGCAGTGTTGATGTTCTCTGACAGCATAATTTGAAGGCATTTATTTTGCTGCTAAGGCTGCTTGGCCCTCTGGCTTGTTTGGACTTGTGTACAATGGTTTGAGCAGCTGAGCATAACGAGAATTGGCGAGTGCAGGCAACTAGGAATGAAAAGGGAGTGGCAGTGTTGTGATGATTGATTAGGTCAACCATGCTGCTGAAAAAATGCTTATCAAACTGTAAGTTGAGTTACATCAGATGTCACATTTCTCGTGACATCAAATGGGAAAAATATTGAAGCAAATAATTCCCTAAGAAGAGGTGAGAAAGCCTACCTCCCCAAGAGGGATTAGATTCTTTCTTTGATGTCTAATAGGGCATATCCTCTGTGTAAGGAGTTTTAACGTGGCAGGGGCATTCATAATTTTTTTTCTAGTATTAATTCTCTGCCTCATGAAGGCTGCAGCATGAGTACACCCTTTTACAGTGATACCGGTAGGATCGGATCTACTACGAGGCAATCTAAGTCAGCCCAGAAAAGACAAATTTTTGTTTCCCAGCCTGTTTGATCAAATCAGGATGGAATTTGGTAGCTAGTAGACAAGTTACTTGAAAACGTCTTTGACATAGTCACTTATGTAGGCTAAGCCAAACATACTCACATATGTAGACAGATTGTGTAAACTTAATTTCCGTAGGAAATCAGACAAAACATTCAATCTGCAATGGGTTTTATTTTTTAGCAGTATGTTTTAAAACTCACTTCACTTGGTGAGTTGTAGAAATAAACCATTTCCAAACATAAATTACTAATCTCCTGCATGTTTTTAGAATTTTTGCAATAAGTTTCCTTTTTAGAGAATGACATTATAAATAAAATAATTTAAAATATTGCATGGTATGCCTTCAATGTTATGTTCTGATCCTCCGCTAAAGCCAAGTGTCGACTATATGGATTGTTATATTATAGTAGTCTAAAAGCTGTTATTAATATTCTGCTGTCTGACTGATCAGTAATACTTACTGTGGTAACAGCCTGATGTGGGGAGGGATTGTTCTTATGTACTGATCTTGACCATTGTTGATTCAGTGCTGAACATTTGGTTGGATGATGTATCCTTAAACCATTTTATCATAGGGTGGCCCTTTTGTTGAAATATTCAGTGCTCAAGGCAAGAACCCAGGAGCACAATGGAAGATATTTGGCAATCCCTCAGCTATATGGAAAGTAAGTTTTTAAAAAAACTTAAAACCTAGAGTATTAAACAGGAAAATGTGAATGAAGCTTAAAATTAGAAGGTAACAAGGGCTTTGACCTGACAGTGGAGTTGTCGCTTGTAGTTCTGTCATTATGACTAAATGACTGCTTATATTAGTTCTTTATGCCTGCTTGCAGACTAGGGTGCTTGCAGAGTAATTTTATAGTTTAAATATTTAGAAAGTAATTTTGCTAGTTTGATAACTAATGGATTGAGTTGGGCCCATTGGATCATGAGTCCTGTTTGTCAGCATTATTTGTTCATAAAACATGCAAGTAAAGGACATATTTCTATGGATTATATTATTACCATCATATTTGAACTACTGTCATGCTTGCAGTGCCATCTGTCATTTGATTTTTAAAAAAAAATTAGCTTTGCATGTTAGTAGCATGGTTGGTTGTGAGGAGAAGAATTCTGTCAGGATGCTTATGTTTGTTTATTGTTCCTTTTTGTAGGAGTATGATAAAGAACTAAAAGGCTTTGTTTTTGTACTTGAAGGAAACAGTCAAATCAACAAAATGCAGCTACCAAAGGAAACTAGACAAACTTGTAAGTATCAAAGAATTAAGTGTCTGTGATGCTGTTCTGATTATTAAATCAGTCTTACATAGGAATGTAAAACTTGCATTATTCTCCCTTACTTTGGGCATAATTCAACATTAGCAAAGTGGTTTTTCACTAACTTCTTAGCAGGTCAGTTAGAAATAAGTAAAAGATGTAGAAATGACATATTAAAGTAAGTACTATAGGGAATATTCTTGTTGATACATGTTGTCGTAGTGCTGCTAGGTTCACTTCTGTGCTTGATCCTGCTACAGACCGATGTCTGGCAAGTAACTTCTGACTCCATACAGCATTTAAAATCAGTAATTCTATTGGCATTACAGAATGTGAAATAGGTTCCTGCCCCCTTTCTCATTTTACTTTTAAAAGTATTTTTACTTTTATGTATCAAAGCTCTAGTAGTACAAAGAAGTTATACCCAATTTTCAGATGTGTTTATATAATCAGTCTTTGGTGTCACGGTTTAACCCCAGCTGGCAGTTAAGTCCCATGCAGCTGCTTGCTCAGTCTCCCACCATGGGATGGGGGAGAGAATCAGAAAAGTAAAAATGAGAAAACTCATGGGTTGAGATTAAGACAGTTTCATAGGTAAAGCAAAAGGTGTGCACACAAGCACAGCAAAACAGGGAATCCATTCACCACATCCCATTGGCAGCCCAGTGTTTGGCCATCTCCAGGAAAGCAGGGCTCCGTCATGCATAGCTGTTACTTGGGAAGGCTAAACGCCATCACCCTGAACGTCTGTCTCCCTGCTTTTTTTCTTCCCCCAGCTTTATATGCTGAGCATGACATTGCATAGTATGGAATATCCCTTTGGTCAGCTGGGGTCAGCCGTCCTGGCTGTCCCCCCTTGCAGCTTCCTGATCATGCCCAGCCTCCTTGCTGATGGAGTGAGAAGCAGAAAAGGCCTTGACTCAGTGTAAGCACTGCTCAGCAGTAAAGAAAACATCCCTGTTATCTACACTGTTTTCAGCACAAATCCAAAACAGAGCCCTATACTAGCTACTATGAAGAAAATTAACTCTATCCCAGCCAAAATTGGCACAGATGGATAGTATGGAATATTTCCCCAGGCTGCCTATTACTTGCACCAGAATAAACCAGAATCAAAGCAGTCAGTGTTTACTGGGGCAGACAGCAAACATTATTTATGCCTTAAACCCCACTGCAGGGTATTGTACCTTATAAGGCTTGCAGTAATGAATTGAGCTGCTTTAGAATTAACTACTTGCTTTTGAAGAAAAATTGAGATCGTGATTTCAGTGAAATGAAAAAGGAATCTTCTAGTCTACTTCTCATGCAGGGTATATAATTACAAATTAGTTTTTCCAAACATACACAAAAAATAATAAGAAACTATATGGTCTGGTCATGCACTAAGGCCTTAAAGATTAATCTGATTTTTGTGAAAGAAATTTGCTGTTATCTTCAGTATAATAAATATTTGTCTAATGTATCTTTAGGAAATCCAACTTTAACTTGTTTATTGCCAATGTTAAAATAAAGTATTACAGCCTAAAATAAGGATTGTGAATTAGTGTTGTGGATTATCACTGCTAAGAATAGTTTCGTTTCAAATTTACTTTAGTGCTGCAACACTACAGTCAAATTTCCATCTGTTACCATTCTGTCTGTCTCTCTTCCTCTCTTGAGGTGTATGTACCTCAAGTATTTCACTTATGTCAAGTATACAATCTCCCAGTTGTACTGTAATCTTTGAATACTCTTCCAAAATAAAAGACATTATATATATATAAAAGTATAATGTGAAATTTTAGTGTCATTTGACCCACAGAAGAAGGAAGATCTGAATTGGCATTTTTTAGAAGACGAGCTAATGTTGCTGTTGAGTCTTCTTAGGTCAATGAAGCCTGTACCCTTAATGATAGAATAACTAAGAAAACAATATATGGTTCAGTTCAGACAGCTTTGTATTATATGTTTTCCCTTGATAAGTAGCTACCTGAATCCTGAAAGATTTCTTGTGTTTGTTAAGTTCCTTGCTGTTCTAAAAATCAGAAGCTTCTGCTGAGCATTGTTGTCATAATCTGGATTGCATTTTTACCCAAGGGTTTTTTTGAAGTTGTTCAAGTTGTACATTGTCACAACCATGAGAGCAAGCTTCATGTGACTATAAGATAATCTTGATATAAAATAAAGTAATACTTCCCTAAATCCTATGGGATATTTGTTGTCTACGTGCTCTTGGAACACAATGCAGAATTGCAAGTAAAAAAAAGGTTCCTTTTATTTTCATAAGAATCCCAGTAAAGCCACAGATGGGACTTAAAACAAGACTTTTATTGCAGCTTGAATTGGTTTTCTTGAGGCTTTTCTTGTGTTCGTATGTTGTGTGAACATTGGGAAATAGTGTTGCAGGAGCACAGCTGTATGGTACAAAATTGGAATGCTTGATGGTGAAATGTGCATTTGCATGCACACAGCACATGTGTTTAATTTTTTTCCTGTTTCTAGTGGGACTGATCCAGCAATTTCTGACACTTCAGATTTTTGTGCCATTGGGACAAGACTTCTCCACTGAGTTACTGTAAGATGCATAAAATTTCCTTGAATACTTAATGTAAAGTGAATGCCTGATTGCAGCCATTAATTGTGGTGGCAGATTTCACATTAAAGCGCAGTGACTTATCAAGTCAATAAGAAGCAATTAAGCTAATGAGATAGTTATTTTTTGGATGTTTTAAATACTTATTCCTTTGAAGACAAACTCTAAAAATCACAAATGAAGATGGTGAAAATCTGAAGAAATGAGACATGAATTTATTAAACATATGAATTTTCAGGAAACCCTTATAAGCCAGTATTTTTGTAAGAGATTTATTAATAATTATTCTGGGGCTGTTTGCTTCAGGCCAAAAAAAACCCCAAACTTTGCATTCATCTGTACCCATAGGTGTCAGCTTTGCTTGATTGTCTGAAGTCTCTTGTGTCAGGAGTAAGGGGAAACGGCTCCTGTAGGTTTAAGTCAAAGAGGACAAAATGAGATGCTGAGAAAATAATTTCTGCTGTACCATAGTAGAGCAACAGTGTTCACTATAATGTGAATAATCTTATTTCACTAAATTAGGATGGTGTGCTATTTTATGTTGCTGGGTAATTCTGTTATCGTCTGTGCCTTCACGTATCTTCTGTGCCTTCACGTAAGTAGAGTAATCTCAGAATATTTGTTATTTTAACGAAGAATATGCTAGTGTGAATTGAGTCATATTGTTAAAATCCTTCAGTGGATTTATTTGCAATCTATGCAGGCATTTTAGTCTTGATGGTTTGTGAGTTAGTGGGCATTTATAACTATTGGGTTTGCGTAGCAAGGTTTTGGGGGGTGGGGGGGAGTTGCAGGGTGGCTTCTGTGAGAAGCTGCTAGAAGCTTTCACTGTGTCTGATAGAGCCAATGCCAGCTGTCTCAAAGATGGACACACTGCTGGCTGAGGCCAAGCCCATCAGCGACAGTGGTAGCACCTCTGGGATAGCATATTCACAAAGGGGAAAAAGTTGCTATGCAGTGGAGCAATTGCAGCCAAAGAGGAGTGAGAAGATGAGAGAAACTGACACCAAGGTCAGTGAAGGAGAGGAGGGGGTGCTCCAGGTGCCAGAGCAGAGATTCCCCCACAGCCCCTGGTGAAGACCATGGTGAGGCAGGCTCTCCCCCTGCAGCCCATGGAGCTCCACACTGGAGCAGATCTCTTGCAGCCCAGGGAGGACTCCATGCCAGAGCAGATGCCTGTCCCAAGGAGGCTGTGACCCTGTGGGAAGCCCGTGCTGGAGCAGGCTCCTGGCAGGACCTGTGGAGAGAGGAGCGCAGGCTGGAGCAGGTTTGGTGGCAGGACTTGTGACCCCATGGGGAACCCATGCTCCAGCAGTCTGTTCCTGAAGGACTGCACCCCATGGAAGGGACCCAGGCTGGAGCAGGGGAAGAGTATGAGTTCTCCCTCTGAGGAGGAAGGAGCAGCAGAAACAGTGTGATGAACTCACCACAACCCCCATTCCCTGTGCCACTGGGAAGGAAGGAGGCAGAGAATTTGGGAGTGAAATTCAGCCTGGGAGGAAGATGGGGTGAGGGGAAGGCATTTTAAGATTTAGTTTTTATTTTTCATTACACTACTCTGATTTGATTGGCAATAAATTAAGTTAATTTCCCCAAGCTGAGTCTGTTTTGCCCATGATGGTACTTGGTGACTGATCTCTCTCTGTCCTTATCTTGACCCATGAGACTTTTGTTGTATTTTCTCCCCTGTCCAGCTGAGAAGGGGGGTGATAGAGAGGCTTTGGGCACCTGGTGTCCAGCCAGGATCAGTCCACTACAATAACCTACATCATGTTGGTAATGTTATACATTCCTCTGTGGCATGCTTAATTTCTAACATGATTTTAAAATCTGAACATTGAGAAAATTTTGAAGGATAAATTAACTTACTTAGCACAGATATGCACCAGAGAATATTTTTGCTTCTCCGTGGAACATAGAAATTTGAGTGAGAACACTGGGCTCAAAATACTTGTTTTCAAGACAGCTTTGACGCTGAGTCAAGATCTTGCTGCAGAAAATACTAACACTTTACTAACTTAAAGTGAGAAAGTGTTGGCACGAAAGCTCATAATTGTTGAATAGACCAGAAAACTGCAGGTATTCAAGAAACTTCCCTTTCTTTAATTTCTCTTAGTATCACAGTTGTTATACACTTTCTGTTGTGTTTTTCTTACCTCATTTTGAATAATTTTTTTGCTTGGGTCTTAAGGTATCTCTAACATAAGCGTACACAACTTTAAAGCTACCTTTTTATTTCCTTGTAACAAATAGCTTCTTGGTGTGTCAAGTCATACTGACTTTTCTGTTCTTTGAATTTCCTGAGTGCAGTTCTAGTTAGACTTTCTGTTCCTATGATTTTAATTGCTGCATTACTTCTAAAACTGTGTAGCAAAAGGGGCAAAACAAACAGGATATGTCATGCAGTAAACAGAAACCAAGTACATAGATTTGCTTTTCATAGGTATTCTGTAGACAGAAGGCAGAGATATAGTGACAGATGCAGAAATTCAGATTGTCTGTAGTGTTGTATTGAGTTTGATTCTTTTGGTATTTGCCACCCACCTATACCTCTTTATCAAGAATCTCATCTCCACTTTTCTACTCATTTTTTTCATCATTTTTTAACAACAGTGCTCTAATTTTCTGCCACCCCTCCCACCTTTCTTTGCCTTTTCTTTCCAGCTCATATCTAGACTTCACATTTTCTTCATCGTTTCTTGCTGCTTCCCATTCCCACCACTACTATGTCCCTCTTGTAACAATATATTTACTTCTGTAATACTTTTACTATTTACTACTTGTATACATCTATAAATTCAAATACATGTATATTGTATTTTCTACATATAGCTTATGTAATCATATACTATATTACTATGTTTACTATATTTAAGTAGTTATAGCTGTTAATTTTCACTCAACTTTCCTGATTGTAAATTAGTATTATCAGAGAGCCTGATTATCTCTCCTTTTCGTATGTGCAGTGATTTCAGTGTCTATGTGGGTGAAGTAATCTCAATAGATTTCTGCATACTTTTTACAAACAAGTGTTTAATTCAGTGTAACTGTTTCACTACTTACGTTATAATCAAATCATGCTTACTCTGATAATTACATAAGTTCATCAATGCATTCAAACTGGAGCTACTTAAAGGTGTATATGCCTAAAAATTAGTCTCATTTGTTGCCCACAGTGCAATTGTAGCAGAAGCTAATAAAACTTGAAAAATTTAGTACTGAGCTTTGTATTAAAAATCAACTGTAACTTATTGATGTACCTATAAACTGCTTCAAGACTTGCAAAATAGGAAGTGTATTTTATCCTAGCAGGCTCATGACAATCCAGTAAATAATGAAGACAAGTCCTTTTTGCTTCATGGAATGGCCATTCAGTTCTTTTAATTTCAGATGTTTTGAAAGGAATTTCTTGCTTGTTTGTGGACAGAATATTGATTGTGCTGGTGCTTCCTGGAGTTTAATGTTTGAAGATGGTTTCTTACATAATCTGACTACTTACTACTGAATCTTAGAGTAGCTTCAAATGAAAACTGATAGCATTCCAAGCCATCAAATTTACTTCATGTAAAAAAAACACTTTGGAAAGTTTTGTAATAGCTGCACATGATGCTTTATGGTACATTTCCTCCTCTCCCATTCTGCATAGAGATAGAAATACGAATTTAGTTTGAGCCTAATCCTCTCTTTTGCGTTCTGTTCGGTGATTGATCTGATCAGCAAACAAGAATTTTTTCAAGGCTATCCATCACTGCTGGCATCAGCTGAGCTAAACCTTCTAACTTGCTTCTATCAACCAGTCATGTGGGATTGCTGTCATAAATACTGAATGTGCAAACAACTGTTTAAATTAGCTGGTTTGCCTTTTCCTCGGAAGAAATTTAAGTAGAATTTTAGATACTTTATTAGGTGGCATGGTTAGTTGAGTATCACCACATTAACCATCAATGTAATGATCTGCCTAAAAAATGTTTAAAATAGATTGTGGATGTAAAACTTGGTGAAGCGTAATAAAATCACAGCTAAGGTAGAGAGCATGTAATTTATGCAGCCTTTTTGAAGCAAACAATAGCAAAGCTGTTAGTAATGCTGAATATAACTGTCTCTTGCAAATGTAGTAGCCAGCTGTTAAATCTTCAGTATTACAGATTTTGTTACCTTTTTGAAAAAGCAAAAGTTTGAAAAAACATTTCTGTGTAAAAAGAAAGCAGCATCTGGCTGGTGTTGGCACTCTTAGTTTGATTCCCAGTATACAGACATGTGCAGGTGCTAGTACTTCTGCTTGGCATTTTGTCAAGCATGTGAACATTCGTTCTTATTAAAATATTGTAATGCCAGTCATTGTCATACAACATAAAAAATAAACAGAAATAAAGTATCACATGAAATTAGTACATCATGTTATAATTTTTACAGCAAATGATTAGAGCTCTTGCTGTTTGAAAATAAACCTTCAAAATGTACCATAGCATCCAAAAAAAGTAGTCTGAGGTATGAACAAGGATCAGAAGCTCTATTTCTGGTTATGTACTGAAATATTACATGGTCTTGTATGAGTCCCTGTAGGTTGCTCAGCATTTTTCCCCCAGTTCTCGCATACAAATTGTGGGACTAATATTTATCAATTTATTTTGGAAGTATATTATAAAGAATTAACTCATTCATTGTTGTATGACACCTTTAAATATATGAAGTGATAAAAACAGGAATTATAGTAAATTTTAAAATCTGGTGGTTGATAAAGTACATTTTCATTGATATGCAGGCTGGTATGTACTGATAGTACAGATTTAATCGTTCATTTATTATCCTATCACTGAATAGAGGCCAGTTTAGGAAGATAGTGATTTTGATGAAAGAAGTTTCCTAGTTTTGCATTTGAGCATTGGGACAGGAGATGGTAACAAAATGTGTTCAAACTAATGTGTAAAGTGATCGAACAAGGTTAGTGGCAGAACCAGGTATGGTATTTACTGATCGTTGCT